CATGCTAGGAATTTGTCAATGAAGAAAACTTTATATACTGAATGTCATTTTAATGCCATCCATATTTTGACTGTGAAGGCTCCGTATTCCTTAAAAAAAAAATATCAAGAAACTGCCATACAATATATTTTAACCTAAGTGAAACATCTAAGAATTAAAAAGTATGAAAAGGACTTAAGAGAATTTATATAAATATTTCGTTACTCCTTATTCATTATCTTATCATTATTCAGTTCTGTACATTAGCTAATGACAATATTAACCTGTAAAAATTCACTATGTACATTTTGGAAGCCACCTCAACTCTGATCCACAAGATCCACTTACATACTTTCAATAAAGATATTCATCATAAATTATTTACTCTACCTATTCAGAGACACACAAGTGATGTATATAATAATAATAATAATAATACCTAGTTACTATATAACACTCTTTGTCCATATTGCTCAAAGTGTTTTACAAAACATTTCATAAGTATGTCTTGTGGGTAGGAGTGGACTTGCCCCTATGTTGTTAGAGAGCGAGAGGTAAACTGCTCTCTTCAATGATGTTGCTGATCTTTCACTCCAAACACATTGAAATAATTCATTAGCAAGGTGGTGATTGTTTTCATAATGCATTTGTGTTTCCATGCCACACTACTACTTCTAACAAGAATTTAACAATGTACCCTAGCAGAAGTTTAGTGGGGAAAATAAAAACACAGAGCGGAATTTTGTCCTCTTCTCCCAAGCGTCCCCCCCCCCCCCGAGTCAATGGCAAAAATCCCCTTGAATTCAGTAAGGTCAAGATTTCACCCACATCATTTATAATATTAATTCAAGATAGCGCGAATCTCATGGCACAGTGCAAGCTCATCTTTTTTCCCAGGTAATTGGAATTGTGGGTTGGCAAATTATTCAAGGGTGATTTGCAGTGGGTTATCTTAAACAGCTACTTAAATTGCTGTATTTAGGATGAATGTATTGGTTATGTTGAGGAAGCCTAGAGCATTTCTATAAATCAAACTAAATATTGGGATTTGTGCATTAAATAGCTTCAGTTCAGAAAAGTTATATAAATATGTGCAAACTAGACATATCTTGAGTATACCTTGTATATTTTCATTTGCTAAGAAGTGAAATTCTCACAAAAGGAACAAGGATTTATTCTTTCCATTTCTCCCTTCTTTATATAGAAGCTCCAGTATGATAAAGATACTGTAAACTTCTAACATTCATTAATTTGACACTTCAAAATGTACTGTTTTAAAGTCTAGACAACCCTACCAAATCAGATCTACCATGCTTGCTGCATTTTTTCTTTTATGTCGTTTCACAACAAACAGGCTCATGCTCTTATTTGTAGTAACTATGGAAACCTCAGAAGCTCTCTTTCTAAAGCTGAGTATACAATAAAGTGCTTAAAGTGTTGGAAGGATTAGAGACTTTAGAATATGTTTAATTTTCTCTCTATCTATCTGTCTTTGGAGAGGAACAAGAGGGTAATGTGCATATTAGCTAGGGACTCACTTTAATCTCTGCTGACACTTAAGTCTGTCTAGGTTTGCACACAGCCATCCAGGGGTCTCTCTCTCTCAGCATGCTAACAAGGGGAGTTATACATATTCATGGCTCTGAATTGTACAATGGAAAACCTGGATAAGGAAAGGAGAAAGTTATGAACAAGTGAAAATATTATTGAAACCACTTTGCAGCTTTAAGTACAGTGGTCGCTAATGGCAAATCATGTGATGATGATAATGGGTTTCATCACATAATTTTTATTGAGGGCGTACAAGAAATTACATTGTCACAAATTAATTTGACATGGGGACAATAGGAATAGATCAATAGGAATTGTTGTAGAGTTAGCACACATTTTCAGGAAGTATAATAAGGAATTAATCTTATTACCATCTTCATGTCCTGTAATGGCAACGCAAAGATTAATACAAATTTTAATTGTTTAAAAATACTGTACATCTCATATTTTAAAACAAACTATAGTTTGGGTCAGAAACATTACTACTTAAAAAATTCACCACCTTTCTCAGCGGATCTGCTCCCTATGGATGATATATTCAGAGCCATATCTCAGATGGAACTCAGTGGGTGAAATTCTGCTTCTATGCCATAGAAACAGTGTGAGTGATGTTTTGCTTCACACAGTCCACTGGGGGAACATCATGCTACCTTCTGGCCCTCATTAAATGTCCTGAAATAGTGCTAGGGAAGTACTGCTGGACTGTGATCCTGATTCTCCTCCTCATCCACAGCATTCATTAGTTTGCGTGCTTCACCAATCGATTTTGTTAACTATTGTCATTAGAGCTGATGACTGAGATTCTACTTTACATTTGGTTTAGTTTCCTTGGTATTTGGTAAACTTATTTTATATACTCATCTAACTGTGAAAATTGGTAACCCACAGTGAGAGATGACCAGTTAATATATCTTTATATAACCATCATAGTTTGTACATTCATTTAACTGCAATAATGACATGCTCACAAGAGAGGAACAGTGGATATTCTTCATTATTGAATTCCCATTTCAAGACCTTTGTTCTCCCTTATGGTTCTTCACCTACCTGCTCCCAAGCTTCACCCAGGTCTTGATTTCCCAATCCCTTTCTGGCCCCATACAAATCCATCCACTGGCCAGAAATTCGAAAATGAAAGAGGAAGGTGGTGGTAAAAATCTTCTTCTGACTCTTTTAGGGAAAGGCCCTAAAAACTGGCATTTGTTGGACTTTTCAGTCTCTGTTCTCGCAGTGCATTAATGTAATAATAATAATAATACACCGTTGAAAGATAAAGGGCAGTTTTATTGATGCAACACTAATTAAAATACAGGTATCAATCATTGCTGCTAGCCAAAAGATGTATAATTCTATGCCCTTGCTGGAGATTTCTCCTACTCCAGTTTTAGGGATGCTATATACAGTCAGTCATATGTGACAAATGTGCTATCACCTGATAAGTGTTTGTCTAGAATCCTTTGATTTATGTGACATCAGTCTAGCTGCCTCTTCAGTCTGCCCTATCTACCTGGGTACCCAGGTAGGGAGCAGAGCCAATGCTATTATTATTATTGTTAATCATGTTTATTATGGTAGTGCCTAAAGACCAACCAATAATGGGCCCCATTGTACTGGGCACCCCCTTGTGAGTCCAGAGCCATCACTTGTTACCAGAAACCCTCTGACGTCATGAATTACTCATAACCTCTTAGTTTAGATCTGAAACACAGTGCCTGTCCAGAAGAGCTTACTATCTAAGAATAAGGCAAGACACACTAATTGGAGACAAAAAACCGAGGGAACAAAAGAAACAGTGAGAATAATAAGAAAATGCATGTTTGTACAGTGCCTAGCATAACGGGGCTGGATACTCTAGGTCAGTGATACTCAGACTGAGGCTTGGAAGCCATAAGTGGCTCTTTGCACGATATTAAAACACTCTGTGATTTAATTATTAACTAATCAGAATGTTTTTACTATGTTATTAATCAATTATGGTTGATATAATGATACTTGGTCAGTCATTTTGCTATAAGAATAATATATATTCTATAAATTATTATATAGTATTCTCTCTCTTTATATATGTGTGTGTGTGTGTGTGTGTGTGTGTATAAAAATGCATTTTCTTATAATTCTCATTGTTTCCTTTGTTCCCTCTGTTAATGAAACAATTCACACTACTGTGGCTCTTTTGGGTAATGTTGATCGCTAATTTGGCTCCTGAACCACTGAGGTCTGAGTATCTCTGCTCTAGGTTCTACCACAACAGAAATAATTAATAATTAATTGGACTTCCTTTCATCTTGGGTTGTGTTTTTGGCTGGGGTTCCTACCCTCCCCATACTGTTCCTGTCCTACTGCCACAGGCAAATGCCCATAGAAACGTATTATGTCTCTGTACTTAGATCCTGTCCAGCCCAAAAGACATCAAGGAGATGAGTAAATTATGTGCATCCTTCTATTATGTGTGAAGGTATGTGTTGCAAATAACTGGTGCCCTACAGGCACATCCTTCTACATGTGAAGCTTAAATGAAATTATTCAGAATTGTTTGTCCCCCATGTGGATGTCTTGGAAAAGATACCATAACATAGCATTTCAACTACAGAATTGGGACTAACATCTGACATTTCATAAAAATGAATATTTTAGTTCTCTTGGAAGATGCCAGATTGATATTGCGGGAAATTTAATTCCTCTGACGTGCCTCAATCCTAGCCGGAAGGGACTCGCTTTAGAGTCAAATGAGTTGTTGCTTGTGTCCATTCAAACATTAGCATCTCTGCAGGAACTACCTACCAGTGGTCCTCTGAGTGTCAGTGGGTTTTATGCTAGAGACCCAAGCACTAGGAACGGAACTTGTATAATTTAATCTAAAACATTGTGTTTCTTAAAAATAAGTCTCCTATGTTACAAACACCACCATTTATCATTTGCATGAACAATTTTAATACAGATGTAATTGACTATTTGTTTGTTTCCTTTTTTGAATTTGTAAATGAAAATATCCAATCAGCTTCATTGTGTCTTGTTTAGAGCGAATTTCATTTTGAGGTTCTTGAGTGCACAATGCTGCAAAAACCGCAGTGGGATTTTTTTTAGCTTTGTGTTAGAAATGTTCCCATGAGTTTCAATTAGATTTGGCTTTTTAAAAATTGTTTTTATGGAATATTTGTGTCAAAGGAAGAAGGGCGGATCCAAGAGTGCCCCCCCCCCCTTTATTTTTGGTAGGTTAATTGCCTTTTTTTTTTTTTAATTTCAAGATAAAACTTGGTTAACTTGACTAAAGTCAGTGGGACCTCATATGAGCTATATTACTCGTGTACAAGTGTTCGCAGGGTCAGGATCATACTTTTTAAGTATCTTTCTCTACTAAACTGCATTTTAGAAATCTGTGTGTGTGTGTGGGGGGGGGGGGTCATTCCAGAATTAAAATGAGCATTCTGTTTTGTCTGTAAAATGAGAAATTCCTTAATTCTCTCCTATAGTTGTGAATCAGTGGGCCGTGTATGCCATCCGAAATCTCACTGAGCAAAACGAAAGAAACCAAGAGGTTATTGCACAGATGGAGCAGCAGGGACTGGCAGACAATTCCATCCTCAAGAACATGGGTTTGGAGATTGAGAAACGAGATGAGAAGCTAATATTGAAATCTGTTAGAAAGAACCCAACTTCATGAGCAGTCCCATGTAAACTTTTTGAGGATTGTCACCAAGTAAAAAGAAGGCTTTCCCAAATAATACAGTATGAAGGCCCTGTTAGGATTTCCATTTTTTTTTCCAGTTTAAGTTCCAATCTGCTGGAAGCGTTATTACCTTTTCCAGAGAAATTGTCAAACAATAATGGTCATTCACCACTGTGACACATGAACACCACAAATGCAAAAACCTTTTCAAATCTGGAGATTTGCAGTAATTTCATTAATTCTTTGTTTTGCTAGTGGAAAAGTGTCATGAAGTCAGGAAACTGATTAATGGTTACTTATCTCATTTGTTATACCTGAAGATAATGATGGTTAAAAAGTCACTATGAGATATCACTTCTGTGATATGTTAAAAGCAGCAGCGCTGAATCAGTAAACGTTGGTACTTCAAAAAATAAATAAGAATGTTTAAATATTTGTATTTATATAATGCAATGACAGTGAAAGATTGGATAAATACTTTCTGAATTAAACACATACGATGCTGCCTTCTGTGTATTTAAATTATTCGTAAGTTATCTTTTCTACCTTGTTACTTTCAGTCATTATGCTGAGTATGTTAAAAACAAAGTTGAAGCTGTTGTGGCAACAGATGCTGCATTCCTCTGCTCTGGGGCATGTCTATATTTTGGAGACTTGGATGTTTATTTGAATTTTATTTGTTCCTTTGGATGGTAACTCAACCCTCTCTCCTTTTATTTTGCACTTCTCATGGGTTTTCTGAACTCTGGCAGACGGCTGAAGAGGTAGTTTCTCACTGTGATTAATTCTAGCAGTTTCTTTTCACCCCTCTGCCTTTCCAAAACATTGACAAAACTCATTTCCAGTTAATTAATTCAAGAGAGGCAGAAGAATGGAAGGCCCTGCCTCTTCATTTTAGGTACCCTCCTATATTGTTGTTGGACCCGGCCACTGTGGAATGTGGCATGAATGAGATGGGTGGAAGAAAAAGTGCATGATTAACTCTTCTTGTTCTGAACTGTTGCTTTAGAAATTAGGGAACATGGCTCTTGATGAATTAAGCAGAACAAAAGTTATTATCTAATGGTAATTTTATTAACTCTGTATATACTACTGCTATGAATGAATTCTGTTCTGTCCCACAAAAGGGTCTTATTAAATTAAATTGCTCATGTTCAACTATCACTTCACTCATCACTTTATTTGGAATAATAAACTTCTGTCAATATAAATGCATGAGAGTTTAAACAACCATATTCAAAGGGAAAATGAATGTAGTTTTTTAAACATTAAGACATTTATATTTATGCTTATCTGCATCCTAAATTATTGGGGGAAGCTGAAATCCTTCCATTTAAACACATGATCTAGGCATTTATAGTGTTCACCTGACGTGTCGATAAAGCTGACTTGATGAGATTATTGCCCAGCAGTAGTGCACTCATTTTAGGCAATGTTTGGCTTTAGGCTGGGGGCTATCGGGCTGCAGCCCCTTTTAGTTCTTTAGCCATCTTATGTAGTCAAGTGTCGAAAAACACAAAGATGATCACATGCACGAAGGTAGGACTACCACTTCTCCTTTCTAATATAAATATCAAAGAGAGCATATCAAAGCATAAGCTTATGCTCCCAATACTTCTGTTAGTCTTAAACTAAGGACCCTCTGTTGCTTTTTACAGATTCAGACTAACACGGCTACCCCGCTGAAAAGAGAGAAAAGGTTCTCTTTGATTTCAAAAGCCCAAATGTGTTGCCTAAAGAAAAACAACAAAATAATAAATATCTTATTTGGGATTTTTAAATGATGTGGCAGAAAAGTGTCTTGACAGCACACTGGAAGAATTTTTTTGAATTGCTTCATCTGTTGCATTCCAGTTTATAAAAGCTATATAGGATTCAGTACCATCTCTAGTTAAATGGCACAGGGAATACTTTTTGTGTTCTTTGTGGAGTCTACACTGTCAGTTTCCAGTTCCTTGATAACTCCCATAAAATTTACACGTCATGTTTAGGCTGCAGCTTAGCTAGTAGTTAAATCGTTATTTAAGATCAGCTATGTTTATCATCGTTCATAGCACTGAAGTATGGCAACTCAATTCTATCACGCAGTTAAAGAAAAAACTTTAAATTTTTATGTTCTCAAAATAAAATAAATGTAATGTGTTTTTCTGTAAAAGTAAATGGATTTAATCTTTGGTTTTTTATCTTAAAAACTTTAATGAAGGATTTGTGAAAGGCACTAGCACTTAAAAAATAAAATGGAAGTATTTAAACTTATAATTCTAAAATCTCAGAATTTTCAGATTTATTTTAGAAACATTTACAGAATTTACATTAGATAATATAATGCAGTGTTGAAAATGTAAGATGAACAAAAATGCAACCTGGACAGAAAATGAGCTTTCTTTGCAAACAACAATGCAAAGGATTTCTTTCTATTCTGGGTTATAATGAGTTAAAATCTTGTCCACAAAGCAAATCCAGATAAATCTTTGGTTGTGGAATAAGCAGTGGGAGTTCCCTTTTCCTTTTAACCAGTTTGGAATAGACACTTTTCTTAACTCAATGGTTGTATGCCCACCAATGGAATATATACAAACCCATAAGTATAAGCCAAATAATAACAAACACAAATAAATAAAAGGGTTTTTTGTGGCATTACATAATGGAGTAATAGTTGTGTTTTCTAAATGGGAAATGTAAGGCTTTCATAGTATAAAACATGCTGATTACTGTATTGTGAGTGGCTGGCTTTTGATTTTCCTGGATGGATTAATTCTCAGAACACAACAGCTTCCTTGTCCTCCGCCAATGGAGTTCCAGCCTCCAAGAGATTTGTTTTATATGCTAGAGGATTAATACAGCACACGAATCAGTTATAAAAAAGCAAGCCTTATTGAGTTTGTAGAGAGGCAAAGCAGTCAAATCAAGTCTTGTGACCATCTTATTGCTTTCAAGAATTTCAAACAAAAGTGATCCTTTTTTTTTTAAGGTCTATTTATTAAAAGTAAAGTGGGATTTTCATAGTAATGAGTGGATGGATTTTAACAGGGGTTTTTGCAAGTTGAGAGAAATAGATTTGAATGTTTCTCAATTTATTTCTGAATTGTATCCAGGATCATCTAATAATGTTGAGTTGATGTGTTCTATATAATATGTACATCATGAGTATTAAAAAAAAATTCAGACATTTAATGTAATGGCCACAACATTTATTCAATCGTTTGTCATTTTCTTTCTTGATTTATTTGGAAGCTCAAACAAATATATTAATCTCACTGATGTGATAAAGCAATTAAAACTGAATTTAGGTTCAATTGTGACAAAAACTGTTTTAAACACTTAAAGTCCCTCTTCTGTATGGTTTTGTTTTATGGTAACGTAGTTTGATATCCTCTTACAATATATTGTCATTGTAGTTTGACATCTCAAAATACAAGAATAAATATAAAACCTGTCATCATATAAGGCTGTAGAGAAGAACCAAAAAGTATATATTTTCCCTGTTTCTTAATTATAAATGGCATTCTGAATATACAAATGACCTTTTTTCAAAGTTTCAGTAATTATTCATTATAGAGTACACCTCATGTTTGTATTAGAAAGCTCCAGTTATTAAAATAACTGTTGTATATTTGAGAGATGCAAAATTTTGAACTCTGAGATTGTCTCATGGGGTACAAGTGTCCATGGTATCTGAGGCAAAAACCCTTATTTGCAGAGTCCCCACACTGCTGTCCAAGGTTCTGATAATGTCCGCTGCTTTTAAGAATAAGAAATTTGTAATTCTTTATAAGACTTAAAATATAGTGATTTCAGATTTTTATTGGTGCTTTCCCGGTATCTCTCAGTAGTTGTTTCACAGTATAACATGACTACAGTTCAGTAAGAATACAAATAATATATTTTAATGCAGACACAAAAGTAGAATCATTCTTAGTTAATCGCATATGAAAGATCTGTAGGCCATTGTGACCAGCTCCCCTATAATTAATTACAAGAGAGTCGTCATAGCAGGATCTGGTAGGGATGGCTATTTCTAAGGTTACCTAACACTTCCCATTATCAGACCCTGTTTTCCATTGTTTATAACTTTGCCAAACTTTAACCATTCAGGCTAAAATTTTCCATGCCAGATGTCTGCCTCATGCTGAATCTTTTTTTTATTTTTGGAAGTGTCTTCTAAAATTGGTCAGCCATTTCCAAGAACAATTAGGGAAAACATTTTGACCATGCTAAAAAACATTCATGCAGAGTTTTTTTGTTTTGTTTTTTTGAAAGGCCGAGGCATATAACCCTTTGGAAAATCTCAGTTCACACATACTGGTTAGAGTTCAGCAGCTAAATTTTCTAAAGAGTCCATCTGCATTGGACATGCTCCCACCCAGGGCTGCAGGGGCTGAGCAGGACACTTGCTCCAATTACTGCTATACTGGCCTCTGCAGGCTGCTAGGACCCAGGCAACAGGAACTAACAGCAGGGCAGCCGTCCATCCTGTGTTTTCAGTGCTCCCTCTGCTGGTATTCCTGTAGTGTGGAGGAGACAGTCATTTGACTCTCATACAGAGAGGACGAAACTGGAACTTGGAGTCGGGAGGCAGCAAAGGAAGAAGATTGGGAGGAGGCTGGGTTGGGAGACTCAGACTGGGAGCCAATCTGTCAAAGCACCTGCCTTTGTTTCGTATTCCTCCTTAAACTCAATTTGTTGCAAGATTCTATCAGTCTTTCTTCTGACCCTTTCTTTGCTGTCCCTTCCCGAAGTATTGTCTTGTGTATCTTAAGTTGTAAACTCATTAGGGCAGGGAACGTTTCTTAACCTCTATGTAATTTCATATTTGATGATCAAACTTATGTTTTCTTGTCAGTTCGAGTCAAGAGACAGTTAAAATTCCTTCATATTTATATAATGCCTTTTATCCAAATAAATTCTGAAGCACTCTAAAAACTTCACTGATATACATATATGTGTTACGGTTGCGGCGTGGCAGCTCTATAGTTAAGGCTGTGCTATATACGTATATAAGGAATTAAACCTCTCTGTTGGCATGAAGATAGTGACTCCTAAAATTTAGTGCACTTAATCTTTAAGCAGGGAATGAATTTTCTGAGAATTTACAAGTAAATGTGTTAAGTTACAGTTGCTGTAAAATTAGTTCTTTAGAAAACTTCTTGTTCAATCACCTTTTTTTATTTTTATTTTTTTTGACTCTCACTAGCAAATAAATTCTTGACTTCTAATGTTTGAAAATTAACGTCAGGGCTACAGCAAAATCTAAGTCATAGGCCTGGAGCCTGCACTTAAAACCATGCAAGCTGACTCTTGTCCCCAGGCTGAGCGTCACTGAAGATCAGAGGGCTCCCGTCAGACCCCTGTGCAGGATCAAGGCCTTAATGTGTTGCTTTTGATTTATTAGGTATTAGAAACAATTCTATCTGCCACAATGTTTACTGACTAATATTTCCAGTTAATATTATTTTCATTGACTGTATCATTAAATGGATACTCCAAAGGCTAAGATTTATTTTAATTGTTTCTTGTCCTCATTGTTGTGAGGAAAACCCTGAGAATATGGAGCATAATCCAGTGCTGTCTTTGTTTCTGCAGACAACCTGAACCAATAGCTCTGAGTAGTATGAATTGCCCCATCCTCAATGGTGGTGTCAACTGTGAAAACTAAAGATGGCAAACTAAATATCAGTATTGTTAATTAGCTGATAATTTTAACATATTTACACTTACTACAGGAAATTAAAAAGATTTTGATGTATAAATAATGTAGTTTATCCTCCCCTATTTACTGCCCTTACTCTTTTGAGTACAGAGAATTTTCAAGTAAATCTGCTAATTAGTTGGAGTTATAAGCATATTGCAGTAACTTCTTTTTTTTTAAACCCTGCCAATAAAAAAAATTGACATTTGAGAGCTGAAAATAACTTACTTAAAATATACTACATGGGATTTTTTAGTTCTATTAATATAAAAATATTCTATTCGATTAACAGTTTTAATAGTCATTTCTATTTATGCTTTGATATTTATTGTATAATTGTTAATCAAATTTTACATGAAATCAATTTAACATCAAGCATCACAGCATACATTGTAGCTTGTGTCCTTTACCTCTGACAGAATGGGAGGTACAGCTAACTTATGCAGAAATTGGAGAACAGACAGAGAAAGCTTCTTTGATACAAGAATTACATTATGACTGAAGCACTTACGTGATCATTGCTTTATTGGCTGAACTATAAGGACTACAAGGACCTGCCTATAGTAACTTGTTATGGCCTTTCCATACACTTTTGCAAATTTAATTAGGAACCAATGTTCTGTTTGGGGTGATGCCAAGTAAGGGTAATAGATGGGATGAGGAAAATCAGTTTTCAACATTATCTATGGAATGGCTACAGCTCTTTCATGATATGTAATTATAGTATTGTAAGATCAGAGCTAAGTCTGTGCATTGCATTGCTATTTTTAGTTCTTTGATGTATGTAGTGAATCAGGTGGTGGGTTGGACCAAAACACATCATCACTAACCAGTGGCTTAGGGCACTGACCCAAGAGTCAGAAAACGGGCTATTTCCATCCGTGAATTGCTGTGTGACCCTGGGGAAGTCATTTTTCCTCTCTGTACCTCAGTTTCCCTATCTGTTAAATAGGGGTGATACCGCCTTCTGTATACCCCAAATTAAAAAACTTAGTAAGAGAATCAAAAAGTGCCACCACTGCTAAACAACAAAGTAAAAGAAGTGGTTAGAGGCCATTAAAATTGGAAGTCAAATTCTACTGAGGAAAATAGAAAGGAGCATAAACTTTGACGACTCAAGTGTAAAACTATATTTAGGCAGGCCAAAAAAGAATTTGAAGAGCCACTAGCCAAAGATTCAAAAACTAACAGCAAAAAAAACATTTTAAGGTACAACAGAAACCAGAAGCCCACCAAATAATCAATGCAGCCCCGGAGATCAAAGTGCTAAAAGAGCACTCAAGGAAGACAATGCCATTGCAGAGAGGCTAAATGAAGTCTTTGCATTGGTGTTCACTGCAGAAGATTTGAGGGAGATTCCCACACCTAAGCCATTCTTTTTAGTTGACAAATGGGAACTGTCCCAGATTGAGGTGTCAGTAGAGGAGGTTTTGGAACAAACTGATAAATTAAACATTACTAAGTCACGAGGACCAGCTGGTATTCATCTAAGAGTGCAGAAGAAATTCAAGTATGAAATTGCAGAACTATTAACTGTGGTATATAAATAATTTAAATCAGCTTCTCTACCCGATGACTGCAGGCTAGCTATTGTGATCTTTTAAAAAGGCTCTAGAGGCAATCCTGGCTATTACAGGCCGGTAAACCTCTCTTCAGTACCAGGCAATTGGTTGAAACTATAGTAAAGAACAGAATTATCTCACACAAACATGAGCATGATTTGTTGGGGAAGAATTGACATGGCTCTTTTAAAGGGAACTCATGCCTCCCCAATTTATTAGAATGCTTTGAGGGGGTCAACAGAGATGTGAACAAGGATGATCCAGTGGATATAGCGTACTTGGACTTTCAGAAAGCCTTTGACAAGGTCCCTCACCAAAAGCTGTGAAAGTCATGCAGTCATGGGGTAAGAGGGAAGGTCGTCTCATGGGTCAGTACCTTGTTAAAAGGCAGAAAACAAAAGTTAGGACTAAATGGTCCGTTTTCAGAATGGAGAGGGGTAAATAGTGGTGTCCCCCAGGGATTTGTATTGGGACCAATGCTGTCCAACAGATTCATAGATGATCTGGAAAAAAGGGTGAACAGCGAACTGATAAAGTTTGCAGATGATACAAAACTACTTAATATAGTTAAGTTCAAAGCCGACTGTGAAGAATTACAAAAGGATCTCACAAAACTGGGTGACTGGGCAACAAAATGGCAGATAAAATGTTGATAAAGGCAAAGTAGTGCACACTGGAAAACATAATCCCAACGAGACATACAAAATGATGGGGTCTAAATTAGATGTTGCCACTCACGAAAGCGATCTTGGAGTCATTGTGGATAGTTCTCTGAAAACATCTGCTGAATGTGCAGTGACAGTCAAAAAAGCTAACAACGTTAAGAGCCTTTAGGAAAGGTATAGATAATAAGATAGAAAATACCATGATCCCACTACATGAATCTATGATGCATCCACGCTTTGAATAGTGTGTGTAGTTCC